AACTTGGAAAAACGGCGACTGCGACTTTGAAGAAATTGTGTGATGTTTATGGAGATTCTTCCATGTCCAGAACAAGAGTTTTTGAATGGCACAAGCGATTTGTGGGATGCAGGGAGGATGTGGAGGATGATTCGAAGTCAGGAAGGCCTTGCACTTCCACAACTGATACCAACATCGAAAAGGTATCAGTTGTGAGTTCAGTTGTGAAAGGCAGTTGATTCGCAGCGACCGTCGCTCAACAATTCGCGTCATTGCGAAGTTGGAAAAGACAAAAAAAAAACGGTTCGCACCAGTTTGGTTGACACTTTTGGCTTGTGAAAGGTGAGTGCCAAAATGTGCCAAGGCTGTTGACTGAGGAGCAGAAAGCTCAACGATTAAATGTTGCCCAGTTGACATGCATTTTTCCAAGTTTGACACAAAATTTAATGTTAATTCATTGCTCAATCGTCATTCTGCAATTGAACCCCCTATCGCCAAAAAACTCAATCAGATCTCGCACGGCAATTTTTTTTTCAACAAGCAATTAATCACATTCACCTATGGCTCCTAAAGAGCAAAAATAATTGCGATATTGTGTCAAAAAAGCTGTTGAACAAAGAACACATATTACACCACACTGTAAAAGTGTTGATTACCAATGGTTAATCGTGTTGCGCAATCTGTGACGTCAGTCTCGTTTCTTTTTAGCCACACCTCGTATGTATAAACTGCTCCACTGCTATGCTGAGTTGCTACGACGTCGCAAACTTCTCTATATATATAATATATATATGTGTATATTTTACGCTATATATATTCGAAAGCATTTACGTTTATTTATTTCAAAAGTCTCGGTGGGTTCTAAGGGGTTCGTTTTCTTGTTTTGTGCGATTTTGTTTACTGTGACATATTGAATATCCATACTACTAGTTTTGGGCTTCTTGTCTATTCACATATTTGAACATAGTCCTCGTTTTGATTTCATATATATATGTATTGTTTAAAAGTGGGTATGTTTTCTCGGTAAGATATGTCGAAGAATCGAGATTCGGAAACGAAAATTTAGGAATCCGATAAGAATCGAATACTTGTAGATCATACTTAGCATTCTTACTCATAATTAACGCTTATTCACAGGAGAATGGATCCTCTGGAATTACTTCAGACAACCAAAGCCATCTCTACATAGTATCATCAAATTCTACAACAAACTTCATGAACTTGGTGTCTCTGCTCGTTTTCATGCATCTCGTTGCAATGAAAAATATTTCACCGAATAGAAGAAAGATAATCGAACGTCGATACCGTCACAACCTATACATTCTCTCACTTCGGATAACATAACCAGTTACTACTTCCACTAAGATTTTTAATATTCATTGTTGCTGAAGGTTGAGCCGTGTTGCCGTGTTTCGCAATCGTACAAACATGTGTCACATCAATCATTCTCATAAACCATTTTTATTCATTCGTTGATTAATTCTATTCGGAGGATTGCGATAATTAGTGCTCTGTGATAAAATCTCGCTCAAATTTCGGTATCGGAGAGGTTAATATTCGCTTTGTAAAAGATATAAATATATTTTTAAAGTTCATTCTAGTTGTTCAGGTGATGGCCAATGTTTGGGATATATATCTTATATTATTGTATAATCTAGAGGTATTATAGTTCGTGTATGTTATTCGAAACATAGGCTAATTAATAAAATTTATCCGGAAAATTGTTTGTGGTCCCAAATGTTTTTCTGATGCCGAATAAATCGCACAGTGACGCATAAGTGTTTATATCATATTTGAAACAAGATAGCACTGCTCAAATACATTTACACGAAAGTCAAAACGAAATATTTTACCCACAATTTCCCAAAAATCATATCCTGGACGAAACTGAACCTGTGGACCATCATAGCTTACTAGTATCGATACCCGGGCTGCCCTATCTTTTCCAGACCCTGAAACAATGATAGTACATGTGCTGATGATTCTTGTGCCAATGATAATAAAAAAAACTAAATGATTCGACTCACAACTGTAGTAATTATTAATTTGAAATACTTTACAGTACTTTTTTTACAGTAACTTACCATGTCGGCATTGAAAAACTTTCGACTTTCGCGTAGCTAGATTTTGCCAAATCAAAGCACAAGACAGTCGTGACGCTTGGCGAAATAGAAATCGTGTTTCCATGAATAAAAAAGTAATACAGCGAAATTTTGATAAAATATCAGATCTCATAGGATTCATCCGAAATTTAGGAATAAATGAAAGTAATAGCCTTCTTGCAAAAAATACATGTTCAACCAAATTTTAAAGCAATTGGTCCAGTAATTAAAGAGAAAAGCGCTTTTTCATACCGATAGGTAGAAAAATTATAATATGAAGAACAAGAACAACACACAAACTTAAAGTTTCGGTATAATGCTCGCCAGTATATTTCTAGTAATCACGTTTGTGATTCTGACGTAATAAGCAATGACGTCCCTAAACAACATCTCTCTAAGACCTCCGATACACTTTAACAAGAAAATTCGCATCAGTGATTTTGACGTCATCAGTGATGACGTCGCGAATCTGATGCGTTCAGCGCCTGCCGTGTATTCGGACAACACCCGTAATTATCATTATAAGTGTACGGAACAGACGGGATACAACAGTTTATACGAACAATATTTACAGTGCACAATATTTCAGCTTAAAAATTTAATATTTAAGAAATAAATTGATGTTTATGAACCACATGGAGTGTCACGAGAGTTTTTATTAAAATACTGAAATAACTGCATCGTGAATTGCTTGGTAATTTTTTAACTGTATACAAAGATAGCTCTGAGTAAGATACGGCGAACATGAGCCTTCACGCAAATAAATAATTTCAACATCCGCATACTAACATAAAACATTCTAAAAGCAGAAAGCTCAATATATCGGTCTACATTTAGCTAATATCGATACATAAAGGTTTCTTGGACAGGCCTTGTAAACCAAACAACACCTTCGAATCAAAATCAAATCGCTGGTCGGTTACGGCTTCCTCGCCATCAAGTCCATGCATCTGGAAACAAATAACTGGATAACTATTTCCATACCAGACATGCATGGACTGGTAATCGGAAGAGGGGCCGCGGCTCGCCATATGAATACACGCCGTTCTATCGGCTTCCATCTCCCCCGGGATAAATTGTTTGAATCTTAATCTATCGTAATGTTTCTCAGGCCGAACAACATTTCAGAGTTGTTCAAACCCGCAACTGGCTTGAAGCGCATTTTTTGAACTCGCATTCAGAAAGACAATCATTTCATAATTGGTATGGGCTTCACCGCCATGTACTGTGCATTCAAATAAAAAAAAGTGTATAATTATGGCAAGTAATCTTCCATCCAATTTTCACATTTGACAACATAGCGAAATATGTTATGTTGATTAATCAGTCTGCCTAAGTGACCTAAACCAAGATGTCAATTGCATATAAAGCAATGTATTAGCAAAGTAATAAGATCCACCAGAGAAGTTAAATCTGTTTTTTCTCAGAACTTAAGTGATAAAAACTGTGTATCCAGTGCGCACTGACACGTTTATTCGTCTGGACAAGTTCTGTGAGAAAAATACAATACCACTTTGCTGATAATTCTGCTACAGAATCAATTATTTAGTAGGAAGTTGCTCAATTTCATGAGAAAAATTGTAGTAAATTGACTAATGTTTATGATTAAACTGTTAAATATAACTGCATTAAATTCACAACCGCATCCAGATGCACATTTCTGAATAAAATATAGAATGAGACTCGAGTTCAGGTTTGAACTGATGGCTTCGCTGCGGAGTGCGGACACAGTAAGTATCCTTGCAGCTATATTTTATATTATACCCACTAGTAAGCTCTTTCTACATCAGTGGTTTACGTATCTCTTCTTCGGGCCAAGGATTTTCAAAGACACTTTGTTTTGCATATTCTTTAGACTAGAGTTCTAAAGAAAGATTTGTAATAAATCGATTCTTCAGAAACAAAAATTTTGTTTATACTGTCAATCAAATCCCTCCAAATGTGTTTATGTAAAATACGTCACGGTCAAATCCATCAAAAGTTAGATCATCTAGGAAATTGCCTTTTTATTCTGTCTTTACTGGCTGCATTTGATTGTAGATCGAAAGATTTTTTATTCTCATGCAAAACCTCATCAGAATACCCAGGCTTTGCTGCGATTTAGTTATATAATTTGTCATTTTCATTCAATTGCGTCATTTTAAGCAAATATGTATAATGCGAGATGAAGAGAGACAAATGGGCTAGGCTACTTGCTTTACAGCAACTGTTACATAACAAGTGCGGACCCGATTAAAATGAAGGCGGTGCAGAAATTTTATTATTAATCATTTATAGGAATGAGTAAGAGGGGATAATGCAAGAAGTTTGAGTTATGGTACATAAGGACCCAAACATGAAGTTAATGATAGGACTTGAGTCCGTGTCAATCTAGCTAAACCCATCATTGTCATTTCTTATCAACTAATCCTCAAATTTATTCAACTTTTCTTTTAATTTTAGCAGTAGTGTTGATAATCTGAAATTGATTAATCACTAATAATGGGTTTCAATTGCCTAATGTTAGCTGTGTTTCTGTGTGGGTCAGTTTCTTCGGTATTTGCGGAGAAATGCACGCTGCCCATCTCACAAGAAGAGCTTGATATTTCAAAGGCATGGATTTACCATTCACTCATTTATGAAACGAAAGAGTACCCTTTACCCTATTTCTATATTTCAAATAGTTTTTCATATATTAATTAAAAATTGTTCAATGACCTATTATGCAATCAAGATACGTATTATTCATAAGTAGAATAAATATTTATGAATATAAATAAATCTTTGACGCAAGATAAAAAAAAATCTAACTTATTTCAAATTTTACTTACAGCTAGAAGACACAGTTTGGTACCTCGGAGTTCAAACTAACGACGCCGTTTCGGCAGCCGTGCTCGAGGGAACAATTTTACAATAACTTCTACTGGATTCAGTGTTCATATGAAAGAATTTGGTCCTGGGTAGGTTGCTTGTATTTATTTTCGGACATATCATAACTTTCATTCTGTTCAATAGCTTGACACAACTCGTGAAACTCTCGACATTTCCTTATAGTTCACTAATCGTTACTTACAGGTAATAAACCAATGGGTAGCGAGGATTGATAGACACATGGTGATCAACATGTCCTTTGACAGCTTATGATCTGTACAACAATAAAAAGCCACCAGATATCAACTTACGCGAAATCGGAACCTCGACAAGGAGCGCAATTCTTACTTGATGACGTCGTCGCACACAAGAAACGAATCCCATAGAAGCCACAGAAACTTTTGAAATATATTAGTAATAAATAGCTTTCTAGCAAAATACACTATCTTCAACAATAAGATTTTAAAGCTATTGATCCAGTAATTAATTATAAAAGCGATTTTTTTAGTACTATAAGAAGAAGAATACCAACAAAAACAAAAACAACAACATCATGACAGAACGAAAGAAATACACTTTGTGTTAAATAACCTGCCAAAACTCAACCCATTCACATTCAATGATATTAAACAATTTGCAATGAGATGTAGTAGACAATTTTCTGTCCCCGAATCAAGTAATGCCTATATTTTAGGTCCCACAGAGCTGATTCGATCAGTCACTTTATTCGCCATAGACAAGGAGTTTACCACCGAAGTCCTAAAGACGGTATGACGTATACATTATTATTTATTTACAATCTATATAGTTTGTTGTACTGGTCTCCAATAGGTCTTTAAAGCAGTCTTCTATGCTTTCAATCTTAGCTTGAAACATAAAACTAATTATATTTTTTGTGACATACAACTGACTGTAGTACCACTATTTTACAGAACCGTCTTTAAAAGTTGCACACGAGTACACGTTGGACAGAAAAATTAATGCCGAAGCGCGGAAAATAGGTAGGTCTATACGTGGGCCTAACGAACATTTTTCCATGCAATTTTGCGGCATTAGCAGTGAGACATAAATTATTACGTCTTTTTCAACACCATTTTGCTCTATTCTTGAACGATTTACTGAAACCCGACGTTTCCTGGTTTACTATCATTAATACTTTCTCCGAATGAACCAACCGAGACTGATGAAACTATGTACTTATGTAACTAGAAAAACTTCGTCAACAAATTTTTCAGGATATTGTTAGATATCAGTGGCTGTAATTGTCTAGCCTTGTTTGGAGCAAAAGGCACGTGTAAGTGTCGTATTACGACATTATACAAAAAATAAAATTGTCCCCTACCCTCTCTAAAAAATGGGGGGCATGCTACGATTTTGTGTCTAGAAAACATTGACAACTCCTATCTAGATTAAAGTACCTAATTTAGCTTTAAAATGACTCATTCTGTTATGAAGAGTGATTTCTGATGAGTGTGGAAATAAATAAAATTTAAAACTCAGAGTCTACATTTACATATGGCCATCCATTTTGTAGCATACCGTCAGTCTATGCGTGGATTTTTTCAGTTCGAAATATCTTCTAATATGGTCTGATGTCAATCATCTTCTCAATATTCACTTCAGTTAATGACATTTTCATCTTTTAATTACCTAACTCTAAATACATAACACTTGAATAGTACGGACAATAGCTAATTCCGTAATAAAACCTAAAATAAAACACCAAAATAACTGTATTACAGTAATGTCATCCTACTGACTGACAACAAAATAAATATGCCCATCATAAACTAAAGACCATAAAATCAGAAACAAACACAGTTGGTATGCTACATAGAAACTTACAATAATTTTACAGACATATGCTGAATATCCGATACTTTGAACACTTTATAGTGATAATCACTATATTTCAAAATTAAAATTGATATTATTTCTATTTCCCGGCTCTATGATATTTTAATATTGTTCCTACTTAGATGAGGAAAACTTGCTCAAAAAGGATTACTTATTTATAACCGATTATTCCAATTACTTTGGAGTAATGCTATGTCCCGCAGAAGGTGAGTAAACTGCATTTTTATTTTTGAGTAACATTAACATTCTTTCATTGTGCTAGAATTATAATTAAACTCCATATGAAAAGTTATACTAACCAATAAGCAAGCCATTTTATGAAGAGATCAGTGATTATTGAGCGGGTTTCCAAACACAGTGTAGTCCATGGGTCCCACCAGTTTACTTGCAAATCCTAGAGTTTATAACATCATTTGACCATTATTTCAATATAATCAAATACATATTGTTCTGCCAGTATTCGGCGTGCTTTTATACATATTCATAGTTCGTAAAATTCTTCTATCTGTCAAAAACAAGACCGCAAACCTTAAAAGAAAGCAATTAACGACAGACTCAAGTTTCTCATCGATTTATATGAGAATAAATGTAAATTTATTTAGTTCGTATTTTTATTCTACAAAGATCTGAACATAAGTATTTTAATTTTATTAATCAAATGATGTTTTTGCATAGGACAAGTAAACCATTGCGCAGGGTCGTCGAACCTTGGTAATGTTTCAATGGTTTTTCAATTCACTTGAATACCTAATAACCTAGGCCTTTGATGCACAATGGTTCAAGATTATTGTTGTTGCGTGTGGCTTACTATAAGTTAAAGATCGAATATCTCCCCTGCTACATATTTGATTGATATAGGTTTGCTGTGAACATCAGGAACATTACTTCATTTTTATCTTGATAAAGAAAGCTTTCTAACTTGGTACATTTTACACATATTTATGGCTCATTTACAGGAGAATGGCTTCTCTGGAATTTTTTCAAGCAACCAAAGCCATCTCTCAATAGCGTCATCAAATTCTACAACAAACTTCATGAACTTGTTGTCTCTGCTCGTTTTCATGCATCTCGTTGCAATGAAAAATATTTCACCGAATAGAAGATAAATAACCAAACGTTCCATATCGTCACAACCTATATATTCTCCTATTTTGTATAACCAGTTTCTATTTCCATCGAAAGTTTTCATTGGATTATTGTTAACTAAAATACCTTATCATGTCTTAATTAATAGACAAGTGTTCAAATCCTTGGTAACTGTTTCATGTATTTTTATTGTTATCATTTTTTTTTTTTTTGAAGGTGAGCCATGTTTCATAATTGGTCATCTTTGCAAACATTTGTCACATCAATCATTCTCATAAACCATTTTTATTCAATCGTTGATTAATTCTATTCGGATGATTGCGATAATTAGTGCTCTGTGATAACATCTCGCTCCAAATCCGGTATCAAAACAGTAAATACTCGCTTTTTAAAGGATATATATAAATATGTTTAAGAAAATTTCCCAGTTGTTCAGTTCATGGTAAATGTTTTGTATATATATCTTATACTACTGTATAATGTAGAGGTATTATAGTTCGTGTATGTTATATGTAACATATGCTAATTAATAAAATTTATCCGGAATCGTTTTGCGTCTAATAGTTTTTTCTGGTGCCGAATAAATCGCACAGTAACGCATAGTGTTTATATCATATTTGAAGCAAGAAAGCACTGCTCAAATACATGAACACAAAAGCCAAAACGAAATATTTTACCCACAATTTCCCCAAGATCATATCCTGGACGAAACTGAACCTGTGGACCATCGTAGCTTACTAGTACCGATACCCGGGCTGCCCTATCTTTACCAGGTCCTGGAACAATGATGGTACATGTGCTGATGATTCTTGTGCCAATGTTAATAGAAAAACTAAATGATTCGACTCACAACTGTGGTAATTATTAATTTGAAGTACTTTACAGTACTTTTTTTACAGTAACTTATCGTGTCGGCATTGAAAAACTTACGACTTTCGCGTAGCTAGATTTTGCCAAATCAAAGCGCAAGACAGTCGTGACGCTTGGCGAAATAAAAATCGTGTTCCCATGAATAAAAAAAATAATACAGCAAAATTTTGATAAAATATCAGATCTCATAGGATTCATGGAAAATTTAGGAATAAATGAAAGTAATAGATTTCTTGCGAAAAATACATGTCGTCACGCTAATAGCCGAATTGCGTAAGTCATTTTTGGCGGTTTAAAGTTTTTCATAAAATAGGTATTTATGTAATGCTGCGCACCTGTCTGTTAACTCAGATTTTATTTTAAGAATTCCGAAACCCATAAAAATAGAGATTTTGTATGATATGCAAATTTGTTCAATTGTTTCGTCCTAATGAATTACCATTGTTAACGCATGACTATTGTGACGTCATAAAGGCAAAATAACCTCGGCGAAGGGTTTTCGAGTTTTTGCATCTCAGATTCTAGCTTAGCGCTTATAAATTTCAATTTATACTACAGTATAGGAAGGCGTGCACTTGTGATATTCACTGTCTGAGTCCAATTCACCTTGGTTGGCTTTTATATAAGGGTACTTTGCTGTTTTATGTTTTATATTTAACTTTGGTCTTATTTCGGTGGATGTGCAGAGCGTGTTATATTGATGAAATATATATTTTTAAACATGAAAAATAATGTAATTGAAACAGATTAGCTATTTTGGGGGATTAGACTTCGTATATACTAAGAATTACATTCTTTTTTGGATTGTTTGGTTTGCAAGACTGGTACATATAGTCAAGTTGCAAAATTGCGTATGTCCCCTAGTCATAGACACATTTCTGCCTAAGTCACAGTGCGCCATTATGACGTCACATGACTGCGTCATACAAATTAACTTAAATCCGGCTACGATCAAAAAATTGAACTATGGCAAACTATTAACTCTCAATGGCATAACAATATCATTAGGAAGTTTTTTACGTTTTTCTCAAAACTGCTAAAAATGACTTACGCAATTCGGTTATTAGCGTGACGATGTTCAACCAAATTTTAAAGCAATTGGTCCAGTAATTAATTTAATGCTCGCCAGTATATTTCTAGTATTCACGTTTGTGATTGTGACGGAATAAGCAATGACGCCACTAAATAACATCTTTCTGAAACTTTCGATATACTTTAACAAGAAAATTCGCATCGGTGATTTTGATCTGATGCGTTCAGCGCCTGCCGTGTATTCGGACAACAACCGTAATTATCATCATGAGTGTACAGAACAGACAGTTTATGCGAGCAATGTTTACAGTGCACAATATTTCAGCTTAATAAAAAATTAAATATTTCAGAACATTAGAAATTGAAGTTTATGATCCACATGGAGTGTCACGAGAGTTTTTATTATATCACTAAATTAACTGCATTGTGAATTTCTTTGTAACTTTTTAACTGTATACAAAGATGGCTCTGAGTCAGATACCGCGAACATGAGCCCTACACGCAAATAAATAATTTCAACATCCGCATACTAACATAAAACATTCTAAAATCAGAAAGCTGAATATATCGGTTTACATTTATACCGAAACAGACACACTAAAGGTTTCTCGGACAGGCCTTGTAAGCCAAACAACACCTTCGAATCAAAATCAAATCGCTGGTCGGTTACGGCATCCTCACCATCAAGTTCATGCATCTGGAAACAAATAACTGGATAACCATTCCCATACCAGACATTCATGGACTGGTAATCGGAAGAGGGGCCGCGGCTCGCCATATGAATACACGCCGTCCTATCGGCTCCCATCTCCCCCGGGATAAATTGTTTGAATCTTAATCTAACCTAATGTTTCTCAGGCCGAACAAGAATTCAGAGTTGTTCGAACCCACAACTGGCTCGGAGCGCATTTTTTGAACTTGCATCCAGTAAGACGATCATTTCATAACTGGTATGGGCTTCACCGCCATGTACTGTGAATTCAGATAAAAAAAATGTAAGTAATCTTCCATCCAATTTTCACATTTGACAACATTGCGAAATACGTTATATTAATTAAGCAGTCTGCCTCGGTGATTTAAATCAAGACTTCAATTGCATATAAAGCAATGTATTAGCAAAGCAATAAGATCCACCAAAAGCAGTTGCCCTATCTTGTAACCTTGCTTTTTCTCAGAACTTCAGTGATAAAAACTTGTGTATCCAGTGCGCACTGACACATTTATTCGTCTTGACAAATTGTGTAGTCCATTGTTGTGCAAAAGTGCAAGCTCCACACCCAAAGAAAAGTAACATGAACAACATCTTTGAAATGAAACTTGCACCCCATTTTAAATTGGCTAGAGACAAGGTACACAATGCCCGCTCATCAAAAGTGCTCTTTGGTGGCCTTGCATGTCACATTTCAGGAGAAAAAAAAAAAGGATGAATGGATGAGAAAAATACAATAACACTTTGCTGATAATTCTGCCACAGAATCAATTATTTAGTAAGATGCTCAATTTTACAAGGAAAATTTTTAGTGAATTGACTGCATTAAAATTCTATGTACTTTGCCGTTGAGGATAAAAATTATTGACACCTGGTCTATCCGCAGACCACGTAGAATAGTGAAGCATAGAATGTGAGAACTACTTCTCGCTGGGTAAAACCTTAGTATTTTGCAATTTCAGCGAAGCAAATGTACAGTTCGAACGGAGGAATAAAACAAAAAAGCTGTAACTATTATTAACATAACAGCATGGATGAAAACAGAAAAATAATGTTAGATATCTAAATAATATTAAAGTCATACCCATAACAATAAAATCAAAATCCATAACGATATCTAATAGCTATGCTATTGGCATGAGCCGGCACCTAAGCTTATAAAAGCAAATCAGTGAAACGAAGGATGAAAGAACGAACAAGTACCATATATAATGAACGAAATACATCAAAAATACTGGATAAATACCAAGTGAGTATGTGTCACCAAGAAGAGAAGAAAAAACGAAAAGATAAAAGAATTATGTAAGATGTAACTTGTTATATTGGAGTCACTAAAGTGTATTGAAGAAATCTCAGAGATAATCTGCATGCAATATGGATGGCATACTCGAAGCAGATATAAATTGAGTGGTTAATCACCTGTCCATATATATATATATATATATACACACTCCTTTAAAAGTTCATAGAAATAATATTTTATGTGATGCGTCAGATCTATTTCTTTTCAATATAGTGAGCAATATATTTACATAGCTAACATGCTTTGCATATAGACAATCAGATACAGCAGTAGAATTGTACACAGTCATGTATGTACCACGGATAAGCATATCCTAAAAGTTAGTTACCAAATATTCTGTTAAAGATTTCAATGGCTGCTATCCGACTGTGAAAACTCCACATACTTTTACTGATTGGGGCATGTTATTAAAAACAATAAGGACCGACACATCACTGATTTGTAATATAAATATCCCTTCTCATAAAACTAATCATGCTGGATAAATAAATAGAATATAATCTTTCAATGTTAAAAAGAGGGCAGACTTTGAATAAATGCTGTTGGAAAAAAATAAGAAATACAAAAACAAAAGATCATCTGACAATAATAAAAGCATATTAAAACATGGGCTTTGGAACATAGTATTAAGGCCCGTGGCACGTAAATAAGTAAAGGAAAAACTATCATTTGACAAAACAAGTATGACACAGTTCCAAGTTATGCACATTATTGGTATTGGATATCGTGATAAAATTCAAGAGAAACAGAGAAACGTAGCGTAAAACACGTAACATAAATGCAAAAGCAGCAAAAGAAAAAATTCCATATAAATAATATGAAGCCTAATAATGGAAGAAAAATGACAATGTCTCGCTGTTTCACATTACGAAATGCATGGCTGGCAACTTTACACAATTGCTTTATTATTAGCGATGAGATGAATAGCATAGAAAGTACCAATTTTCAATGATCGTAAAACACAACACAAGGAAAACTATGAAAACACTATATTGATAATAACAAGAGTTAGGACGGCAAGCCAAAACTTACAGAAAATAAAATCAACCATCTAACAGGCCACTTTTGAAACTTTCCAATCTCAAATCTCTTTCAATCAAAATCACAGTTCAGGCCTAGAGCCAACCATATCAAAAGCAGGAGAAACCAAAATAGAATTTTACTCGTTGCTGACGTGAGAAATCAATAAAACACCATGTAAAAATAGTTTCAAAAAAGTCAGTATTTTGGCATAAATATTTCAAAATATCAATATCAACCAATTTTACATCATCACAAGTAATTTACTAAAGAAATAAGTCAGAAAAAAGAAAAAAAGATGGCTATCTCTGTCTCACAATAAGGCATGTATGTAACTAGCTAGTCCAAGTCGCTAAATCAAGAATATTTCATCTTATTCATTCTCTGGGTGAGTTAGCTGTAAGAGTACGTAGTTGATGAAGCACCATCTTGTGATAAAGAAAAACGTCCCTCAGATTCGAGTGAAATGTGAGTGTTCGATTGCACAAGGTATCGATGTTACGGAAAAAATCTGGAAAATTTTAAATATTATTATTTGCAGACGTGAATAACAAAATGAATGGGCAAATAATTATTTCATGGGTTATTTACACAACCATTCTTTACAATGCCCACGAGGTTCCCCTAAGAAAAATTTTGTTGTTTCGGGAGGGAAATATTACACTGTATTTGGTGCAGTTTCAGAAAATGCAGGCTTTTTCAGAAAATAACTGATGAACTAAAAACATTGTTTACAAATAAACTCACGGAAGTTAATTTATAGTTAACACATCTTTTAGTCATTGATCTAATCTATTTACGTGTATACATACCGACATGTTCTTCGAGCATATTTTCACCTTGGTCCCATTTTTCATGGGCCTGCAGTAAATTACACATGATTGTATGGTGCTGGCGATACATATCAAACATTTTCTGTGGAAAACTATATCCTGCATGTGTTGGAGGAGTCATTTTACCAGCCTGAAATGTGAAGAAAAAAAAAATAAGGAAAACAGAATCAATGTATATGTATTACCTATTTTGTGAGTGATTGTACAACAGTGGTTCTTAAACTGGGTTCGATCGAACCCCTGGGGTTCGGTGGAGCTGTTCCAGGGGTTCGACGAAGGTGCTCTGAAACAGTTGCATATTATGAGACTTTTTTATCACCCTGCATACTAATTATGCAAAAATAACTATAGTTCATGATGACTAATTACTAATGACTTAAACAATTGAATGGAACAATTAAATTGGGTTACCCTTATTCATATTCTACCGTACTAATAAAATTTAACTCAATTTTACGGATAAATCGAAGATAGGCAGTAATTGTACATGAATGAATGCAAAATCATAGCGTGTTTGAATTTCACTAGGTGATCAATTTGCGACAAGGAATAGTTTATCGCAGAGCTTTACCCGAAATTATTATGATCCATTCAGGACAACCTCGATATGGCGCCGAATTAATCCTATATCTATTCCTGTAAAATAAAACAATTGGCAAACGATTTTATTCGCATTTCAGCGCAGTTTAAAGTTTGAGAACAAATTGCTTGAACTACCAACGTTTATGGGGTATATTATCATCTTTCGGATTTTCAAAGTTATTTTTTATCAGTTTTCGCCTGTTCACCCGCATAACTTATACAACAAAAACCATATGCTCTTTCTGCCGCCAACGCCATTGTGACAAAACAATGGTTATTCCCACATGGTTATTGATATCTAAGTTTTCATCACAATGTTCATATCCTATAACCTTGCAAGAATTAGCTTCCGCTTTATGACGTTACAGTTTGGCTTCTAATTTCAACCGTTCAGTACAATGGGGTTCGGCGGGAGCTTGCAGAATAGCGCAGGGGTTCGGCAGGCTTACAAAGGTTAAGAACTACTGTTGTACAATGTGTCCCCTGTATGTGTCCCGAGCTAGATTTGTGGAAAAATAATTATGGTGTAGCAGTTTTCTGGACAGTTCACAATAACTGTTAGGGAGACTAGAGTCACATGGTAAAGGACTCAAAGTGACACAACCATCTGGATAAAAAGATACGACTGTAACTCGATATATCCAAACCGCCATAAAAACTTGTCTCTCGAAGATAAAGTGAATAATATCGCAAAAAAAATGCTGGCGAAATACAATATACCACATCGATTGTTGTACTAGCTGTTATCGGCCATGTTGGATGCTGAGATAAATCTACTATTAAATAAACTCGATTTGTGTCTTGGGAAAACCTGACTTGACAGCGCAGTATGGTACCTCAATACCAGAACTTTAAATTTATCTGGGTCCCAGACTTTACTCAAGACTTGGGATGGCTCGTGACTCAGTAGATGGGGTTTAGGGACTTGTACTTCACACTAGTTTCTCATACCAGAATTTTAAAAAAGTTTCAAGAAAGACAAAAGTTTCCTGAATGAATGCAATACCTAAAATGCTATAAATCATTTTTGTTTTATCATTAAAAGCAAACTAACCTGTGTCGAACTAGAAACCTGTTCAACATTAGTGCTGGCTGGAGATGGACCATGGTGACCAAATGGAGAAGGCACAGCAGGAGACATTGGACTCACAACATTTGGTGCAGAGTTAGTGTGATGCCAAGGAGATGGCGTACGATTAGACTTGCTCATCGACTGCAATAATAATAGTATCGTATAAAGTAAAAGGTTACAATATAGGATTAAAAAGTCTTGCTTGTCTCTGAGTCTGTGAAGACGGGAAAATTTACAATTGATTCCGACGATGACGCTTTTCAACAATTTTTATTCGGTCTTCTGACCCCATGCTGATGAAAATTCCTTCAGAACTTCCAAGGAGATCATATTTTGAATATGAAAACTTTGGTGTGTGCAAGTTATTTTAATAAACTGTTAGAAACGCTTGGGCAACTTATTTATTTTGGTTTCTGTAGAACCACGATGATCAGCAAAAAAAGTCTTCAATTCCGACTCAAACTGTGAGGTATTTAAAATCTTTACTTTGAAAATACAACTCCGAATACAAAGAAAAAACGCAGACTGAACAGTTCTACTTGTGTCATACCATATTGATGACTTCAATTGGAGGCATACAAACAGCATTCTTAAATGATATGTATAATTTTGAAGGGTGTAATTAAAGATGATATTTGGATGAATGATGGAATAACATGATCAGGCGATTCAGTAAATATAATTGTACCTATGCTTTCGCGAAGGAAAAGGGTCCTAATCCAAAAATTAAAAAACATACCTTGAATTGGTCAGTCAAAAGTTCAGAATATTTTACTGCAACATCCTTTTTTAATTTAAAAATGCGTAGATATAAAACTGCTTGGCATCGTAAGCTGCAATGAAAATGAAAATATTGAGTAAATGAATTACTATATGATGCATTCAATAACACTGTAGTATCATGCCATAGGACATACAGATTGATATAATAACCAAATATCAAATATTGTTATACATACGAATAAATGCAAAGTAATGAATTTAGCTAATGATCAGAGAGTTTTTGATAATGTGCTGTCATGTGACGAATTGCAGCGCCTCCTAATGTGACCTATGCGGCACCATCACTCTGAAGATGGTAATAGCCATGTGGCAAACTGAGTCTTGTGCTATTTGGCTAGCGTGTATCAAGGTTTCAGCATCTTCTAAATTGTAAAAGTTTTTATTTCTATCTAGTAATAATGTTCGAGTTAAGAAACACCAGGAAAACAGTCTATTCTTCAATGATTTTTGACTACATGTCATATTTTGACCAATTTTATCATATGCTACGAGTTTTTAAAATATCTTAAAATAAAATGGCATTTCCTAATGATAACAGATAAGATTTAAAAATTTTTAACATGCTCACCATGAAATCATGATTCTTTTGAAAATACGATCATCCTGCTCAACATGAGGACGCATTTTGAGTACAAAGTCGAGTAGGGGGATAGTTTGCTGGTACATGTTGTTTGGAGAATGGGAAGCACTCCATGAACTATTGCTGCTAACTTCTAAACGATCTGAAAACATAGATTTGCATCAGAGAAAATTAATAATAATAAGAGATATCGGATTTGAAGGGCTATGCAGAATAGGAAATAGTAACGCCACTTTGAAAACAGAAGTTTCTCTATATGACAGTAGAAGCAAAAAAATTGATATAGTACTGATATATGAATTGCTTCTGATCAGAGACGTTGAGTCTATAAAAAATTCACACTCATATAAAAAATGACTCAGCTCTGACTCTTGGTGAGAAAGATTTTGTCTCTCGAATCTAGGATAAATAAAATTTTGACTCTGACTTTATCTAATAACTCTTGAGAACCAACACAAAAACCTGTATTTGCAAACTTTCTTTATTTGTCTATTAAGAATGTTAAATCCAGCTTTACGCTTTTAAATTCCTGTCAAATTTTTTTTTATCGATTATTACCATTAGATTCTGAAGTTTTGATTGTGGGGAGTTTCTAAGTACAACTCCAGCTTATCCAGACCAACTCCAATATAAATGAAAACAAGCTAAACTCCAACTCCCTGCTTTTGAAGTTGCGATTCGATAAAATACCTTCTCTATTTTCTGTTTCCATAACTGAACCACATATGATGAAAAACAAGGAAGCCTCGAAGTAAGCGAGTGCTCGATTCATTGCTTCTCCAGCTCTCGTCCTTCCATTCCTTGAATCAACCATTCCATCCCCTTCATGTTTCATACGTTTCCCTTCTCTCATGTACCAATCAGACGTTTGAATTCTGTGAATAATACATAAACCATACATGAAAAGGGTCTGATATTTGTAAAAAATAATATAAACCATAAACGTATTGTTTACTATAAGAAATAGTTTTGCAGCAAATTTTGATTAATCTGGTTAATTCAATGAAAATATAGAAAGTTTATTATAAAGACAAGTTTCATTATTCCAAGATGTTTTGCATAAAAGTCACGTTATCTATAGAATATATTTCAAATGAACTGGATTTGAGTCACCTAAGATCTTCTAAAAAAATGTTATGTAGGATTTGACCATTTAACTTCCATTTAATTATCGAATTTTCAAAAACACTAATCCAAATTAGCATTAAATTATATTTACAGTAAATTCAAAGGGTATCTATATTTGTTACTAGCAAGATATGAATATATAAGAGTTTTGTGTATATTGTGCAGTGATATTTTAAATATATAGGGTACAGAAACAAGCATTCCAAATAACAAGCACTTTCTATTCCCTCTAAGTACTACAATTAAAGCAATAAAATCGAATAAGATAATAAGAGTATCACCAACAATTCTTTATTAGTTTTCATTACAAGCTATTTTTATGATTCTCAAGTAGATTCAAAGGGTTGCTACATTGCCCAAGGCATAAAGTAATTAATCATGAAAGGATTTGCTTGTTGCAAAAGTCTTTTCTAATTGATTGATCCATAAATTGCATGTCAAAGTCATATATACGATCACTTATAAAATGGAACAAACCTTTCTTGCTCTCCGGGAACACTCGAATCAGGCAATACAAAAGAGGCACTACTGGCAGCAGTGGACTGCTTAGATGGCTAAAAAGATAATAACGAAAATAAACCTTAATATAACATCGGTTTTCTCATTATATAGGGGTATATAAAGCTTAAAGTGTTCTTCTCACTGAATTTTTTAACATCATCATAATTGCGAAGATGACAGCAAATGTCAAAGAAATCCACATTTTTTGTGCAATAATGCTCATTTTGTTTTTATGTACTTTTTTTTGAAATATCAATGGTACATTCGCCAGTAACCTTGTCCTGTCCCATGCAGAAGGGCAAAAATGGTATTTATAAAATGATTACAAATAAGATAGACCTGAACAAAGAATTGAATTGAACATGTAAAAGTATATATAACACGTCAATATAAAGAAAATAAACGGCTCATCCACCTGAGCCAGCCAGTCAAAGAAATATAAAGTGTATATCAGATATATTAGACTAAATCATTTTAATTTAATGCTTCCAACTAGCTTTTAGATAGATACTTCATCTCTTCTATTGAATTACACCAGCTAACCAGATCGAAGCTACTGTAATTTGGAGCAAAAACATGTTTGAAAAAATACTATTATTAGACTGATCAACTTGATTATTATGTAAAAATGTTCTATTAAATAGTCTTGAAAACATAAAAATATAGTCTGATGGAATTGGAAATTATTTGGCTTTCTAAAAATTGGAATATTGCTTAATCTAAAAATTGATGGCTATTTCAAAATCACCATTCATATAAATATCCAAACTTTTGAATATTTAGTTATGAGGCAAAATCTCAATAATATACAGAAATAAAAATAGCTGTAGTCAATATAACAGAACTTACATCATTTGAAGTTGGACTTTCTTGCCTTGGAGTTCCCACAACATGTTGTGTATGATTGGTGGAAGGATAAGTAGTACGATCGTTATGCGATTCTTCCCTATGCGAAGATCTGAAAATTTAATAACATTCAATAAGTTAAAAAAAACTATAGCAGTGGTTCCCAACCTTTTTTTCAAAAGACCCAAATTTTTTAAAAACTGAATTTTGTAAAATGTCACGCACCAAAGTTATGCTAAAATACTAAATATGTTGTACTTTCATGACCAAAATTAAGAAAATGATATAAAACAATCAATTCCCATAGGTTGGGATCTGTGTCACGACTAGTGGAATAAAAAATAATCACACGTCCTCAGAGTTGACTCACGTCAATCTCGAGTCACAGAGCTAAGTCTCGAAGACAGTTGATTAGTCTAATCTCGAGTCATTTCTTTAGATGACTAAGGATACTTGAGTCCTTGATGAATAGTGACTCAAGTGATGCCTCAACACTGTTAACTAATAAGCAAACACAATGAGCAAGTATACATACTCCACGCTTGCAGAATCCTGCCACTGATCCACATTAGTTGATCCTTTGTGCTTCGAATTCTGAGAAAATGTAGCGGAACGAGGGCTGGTCTGTTTATTAGAAAATATAACATTAGGAAAAAACTTAAAAAAACTGAACATATAATAAAAAGTCAGCAGCTCCTGAGTCCTGACAACCGAAGACTCACATAATATATATCACATAATATATTCATTCAACTTAATTATTAATCTGAATTATTCCTGAAATAAAGATTATATTATATCTAATATGACCCATTTCGAATTCATTCACCCTGCGGCTTGCCCGGTTTTGCAGGATGGCACAAAAAAACAGAACCCAGGTCATTTGGAACATATTCTAGTAAGAACATAACTTTTGTGCAAAGTGTCTTAGATTACTAGAACTTTTGGTTAAAATCATACACAAACAGAAGTTAAATTTTCGTTGTATTTTCTTGAGTCACCCGGTATTAAAGCAGTTGTTTTGCAGTTGATATGTAGGCCTACTAAATAAGATCTGTTATCTGCGATTTAACGATATTCACAAGGTAGTGCTCCTAACTCGAAGATTAATATATTGAGACTAAAATTGCTAATTAGTCTAAGTGATTTAGGGAGTCCTGCTCGGTCAGACGAAAAGTTACAGAAATATATTTGTGTTAGTATACAGCAAGACTCTTGAATCACTTAGGAAAGTAATCTTCAAACTTGCTACAGCATCGCTGTATCAGATACATACGGATCTGCCGGCACAAAGACATAGAAGAATGATAAGTAGAAACCAGAAACCCAATCAAATACTAATTTGTATTTTGGAATAAAATGAATAAATGACTTAAAAACGGATGAAGAAGGTATACAATGAAATATGAAAAGTCGGAAAAAAAATCTGTCCTTACCTGTTTTAATTTCGCCTTGTCCCTCCGTTGTCTTTTTCTTGCATCTTCCTCATAATTACGATCAGGAACGGCGTGTTTACGTTTGTAAGTCGTTGTATTGCAATTATCGACTAAATCTTGGCTATCGGCTACAGCAACCTTTCAACGAAAATAATCAATTACAATAAACTTAATAATATTTTGTGATTGTTAATATATTGCCAAATATAGTAAGTATGAAATAAATTTAAGTTAACACCAAATCTTCGGAATATTATGATATTTCCCAATATTATTCAGATAGACACATGTACAGGTTAATTTTGAAAAAACTATTTTACTTATGATAATGACAATTTGTCTAAATCCACACTATCAATTTCCGCATTTTCAAGAATTTAGACAAAATTATAAATATTCGAAATTCAAACAAATATTTACAAGATTTCGGAGCGTGAACATATATTATGTGTAATACCTGAACACAATTTGCCTTTCGGATTGGTTGTTCAGTCTCACTACCAGTAGACACAGTGGTAAAAGTCCGTTTTTGTGGAACAGCGTGGACGCTGGTGCTTTCAGAACTAGAGGTTCTAGACAACGCGGAAGCATTCTTTGATAACTTTAATTTTTTATTCGTTGTATCTTCCCCAGAAAGGCCGAGCAATGTTGAGCGAATCCGAACCAATAATTCAGGATATAAAAAGTCTTCTCGTGAAGGCGGCTTAGTCTCACAGACATCATGATTGCCATCCCGATGAGTGACGGCAGTTTTCCATGCATTTTTCGAACCTTTTGTGTTGGTTCTATCCACAGTGCTTGAATGGACGGTTGAATTATCTCGTTTTCTCGAAGGTGGTTTATTAACACCTTCATTTTCAGTCGGAGCGTTTCCGCTTGGTGTCAAAGAGCTGGATGAAGACTTGCGACCATGTTTTTTGACATTTGCATGCTGTTCATTCTGTAGTTTCCATCTATCAGGCTTATTTTCATAGTTAGTAGACATCGTCTGCTTTTCCACTGATGTTTTGCTAACACCGGAATCTGAATTTCTTTGATTGTTTGTTTCAATTTTATCTTGAATTTCAGTTTGCGGATTTTGTTCAGCGCTGGCCCTAATGTCGCTTAAACTCCATTCATTATTCTCAAGTGGTTCATTGTCATCAGAAAGTTTATCCTCACCTTCAATATCGCTTGGATCTTCATCAGTGTTGGATCCTGAATCGGAGGAAGAGTCTGAATTAGAATCCGAACTCATATTGATATCCTCATCTGATTCATGATTTGAAATCCTGTCGGATTCGGATCCGTTGGGACTTTCTGCTTTTCCTGGCGGATTTGTTACAGCTGGTGTCGAATGTCCAGTCGAAGGACCTTTTCTCCCTACACTCGGCCAACGCTTGGCATTCGTTTCTGTGGTCGAAGAAATAGTTTCCTTGCTAACACGGGAAGTAGTTTTTGTTTCTTCTGAATGATTTCGACTTGAAGATATTTTGTTCTGACTATTTCTAAACTCGTCAACATGTGGAAGGTGGATTTGGGACGCGGCTAAATCATTAACCTTCCGTGCAGATATTTTGGAATTTGGCTTTTTCGTTTTTGAAAGATAATCATCCTCATGTGACGGCCCGAGTGATGAAAAATTTTCTCCGGAATTCTGATCAGTACGATCTCCTGACAGAGCCGAGTGCTGAGATGATGCTGGAGACGACCTATTTTTGCTACTGGTCAACGAAGATGATTGCTTTTTATCAAGCTTTCTTCCGCGAGATTGGCCACGATTTTGCTGACCAGTATCTTTTGGTAAAGGAGGGCCACCTTCACTTCTGATAGATTTTGCAGTCAGTTGCGCTTTCCTATCCAAAGAAAAATTTACCAATCTCTTATATATCCGCAGTGAAACCAAATTACCTTATGCCACATTTTTAAAAAATAGACTTTTCTTCTCCCCCTGCAGTTAGTCGGGGTTTCCAGGGTGTTTCAGGTTCTATCTTATCTAGTGCCGTATGTCCATTTTTTTAGTTTTGGCTATTAGAAGCAAACTAGCTTATGTTCAGTTTTTAGACATAAGCTACTTAGTGCTATGACTAAAAAATAATTTATATGACAGGTTGGAAAACATATTATGTCTGTGTATTATAAATAAAGCCAGGACCAGTTAAAACTGAATAATGTAAAAAGAATGATTTAATCTAATAGGCACTAAAATCCTAATTTTTCAATATAGCATATAGCATACCCGCCATCATTGTTATGCATCTTTGTATTTGTCTCAGCAATATTTGAATTGGAAGATAGTAAAGGATTGGAAGGTTGAGTTTGTGGCTTTAAATTATCAAGATTCCAACTAAAACTGTCATCATCTTCATCAGAACTATCTTCACCACTACTTTCAACATCACTAAAGCAAAAATATTTCAAATCAAGATTATTGGCTTGATAATATACGATAAGGCATATGACACAGACACAAATGTTATAGCCTTCCCTTTTCCATTTGAATTTTTGAAAGTACTGACAACATAGTATTACATAATGGAAACTATATAAAAGTAGTTGAGATTTTTAGGTTAGTGACATCCCAGAAATTAAACTTGTCTAAAATCATGGTCGCAATGGCCTACAGGTCCATCAATACAGCTGGGGTTTAAGTCCCATGCCACCACCTTAATCAGATGTAATAAGCCCAATAATGTAATAAATGTAATAAACCCAATGATTCTAAACTGAAGCATATCTCCTGAAAATGTAACAGCACTACTTCAAATCATTCTACTATTTTGCATGAAACAAATGCTTTGCCCATATTGTGACAAGTTATATATGTATATATAAATTTATTACAAATATATAAAAAAAATCCTAAGAGTATAATATATATAGTAATTCTAAAACAAGTTACCTGGCTATTTTGTCGTCCATAACACCAGCATTGGCAGCTGAAATATGTCACAAATATATTTTTAAATATGGTCATGATTATAGATTAAAAAAAGTTGGAAATCTTGAAGAACCTCGTAAAAAAGTCAGCCTGGGATAATTAAAACTGACCATATTCAATCAATAAGAAAATTGGTGGCCTCACAAAGTTTTTTTTTCCAAAATCAGTTTATTTGAAAGTCACTACCTCATATCGGTTTAATTGATTGTATTGACATAAACTACTTTGTGCTGCGTCGATCGATATTTGCTAACACATAATCCAACATTATAATTTCACATAGTCTCAGTAGCTTTTGGTTCAATAGTGATCGCCCATAACTTCACTTAGAGATCGATTGTCTTATTTCTGAGTAAGTGCGTCTTCGACTCTGCTTTGGGAAATCCTTAAATAATATTCACTAACTAAGGTTTCAAAATTAAATACATATCACATACCTTCTGTGGAACTTTCAATTCCAGAAAGTTTTCTTTTCTAAATATGTATAAAAATACATTGATATCACAGTTAAATATACTTAGCATTATAATTAATTCTTGCTTCCAATTAAATTATAACAACCCTTTTATGTTTTATATAGAAACCGTTTGGGGCATTTAATTTTAAACTTAGCAGGAATGCAACTGCATGAAGCAGTACAGAATCTTCATTATCAGGGCAACTGAAATTGGATAATATTAAAATCTTAGCTCAGAATAAATTTTATTTTTGGTAAAACGCTACCAAGTCCAAGGTGACATGGTTCTAAAAACAACAACTGGATAAGATAAAAAAGCTGGGCATTTCAAAACTACTTGAAAAACCAATGTTTCAAACTAACGTAACCAATTAATATTATGCAAGGTTCGCCTATTGGCAAATCTTAGAAGTTTGAAGTTAACTTACCGTGCCAACAAAATTGAATCCTTTCTCCAGCATGCTTGGTGTCTTGATTTCTGTCAGAGTAGGCGGGCAATCAACCATCATTTCCTGTAATAGGAAAAAGTGGAAACACGATTATTATAGTGCCATAAATAAAGTACAAGCGGTGAAGAGATGACTGGTAGTCAAGGTTGAATCCAAGCCAAATTTGGGGGAGTACACAAATTTTTTTTTTTTAATATGACGTTTCTTAGTGCCACAAATAAAGTACAAGTGGTGAAAAGATGACAGCCAGTCAAGGGTGAATCTAATCCAAATTTTGGGGGGGACGCAAAATTTTTTTTTTCATACGACGCTTACTCCCGCCGATTACTCCGAACAAGGCGAGATACAATCTTGAAAATAGCTGTCCAAGCTGTTCAGTTGGTTTGTTCGGAGAAAGGATTGACAATGTGCCAAAAACATCCGAGTTATCAGTGAATCGTTCACAACGAGAGCAAAATAGTTTTAAGAAAGATGTCCAAGTTTGTGTCTCACTGCAAATGCCATAAAACCCTTTCTATCAAACTTACTTGAAAAATTGGGCTAGCTATTCTAATGCTAGAAGTGTATTGTGAAATTTTGAAATAATAAAAAAGAAATTAGCATTTTGTGACAAATCTGAAAGACGAAACAATATATATTCTTTACCATACCTTAAAAATGGTTTCGACGCCACAAAAATCACTATCAACACTTGACACTCTGTCTCTTTCCGAAATCTACATAAAAAGGAAAATTTATATTATAAATATAAAATTAAATATCCCAAGATAACATAGTTTTTTAATTATTAATAAGCAGTGCAGCAATTCTATATGTAAAATATAAAAGAAATAAAATTTTGTTACTTCTCACCAAATTAGGTTTTTCACTGCCGTCCAACATTGTTGCGTTACGACTGTTGATTGGTGTATGACTGCTGCTGTACGATGGCACTGTTTGTTCATTTTAATAAACATTAGTAAGAAAATTTAACACTCAGAAATTAAAATTAGGCCATTTATAGCAAGAAGACAACCAACACTTATACACACTTAAATACAAGTATGTTTATTTGTATATCGCCACAGTAAAATGGAAGTACCTTATTTTCCAGAAATAGGCCAATTTGATCTTCTGCCATTATGGGCAGATAATGCCTTATGTACATTTTTAAATTTGGCTCTTAGAAGCACACTAATACAAAAATGAGATTTTCTCAAAACTTTTCATTTATGACATAAAATAGTTTGGCTCTACCGAGATGATATAGGTAGATGAAATATTTGAATATAAGGAACCTGTATGAGGGAGTTTTATAAAGCGCTCAAGAAGTGTATGTACCAATATGGAGGTAACTAATTTTGTTCGCCTACTTTACATAAAGTTGTGTAAAGGGACTGAAATTTATGGTATATTCACTTGGCTAACACAGCCATTCCCAAAACTCGGAATAGAACTAAAATAAGAAAAATCGGAATAAAATTATGGCCTAACCCTAACCTGGTACACACACTACAGGAGTACCTTTATAAGTACCTGATCCAGTTGATAAGTTGTGCTCGTTACCACCAGTCTTTGATTTATAAGAAGAAGATGATGGGTGCCCACCTTGGCTTCGACGATTTTTGTGATGGGAGTGTTTTTGTGATCTATTTATTGTCTCCTCCCTAAAATGGTAAAACAGCATAAAAATTTAAAAAAACAGCACCAACAGACATGATAGAAATCATTTAGAATCGAGATTTAGTTTCTTATTTTAAAAGATTTTTGCAGTAAAATCATAATTTTGTGATAGATTGTTATATATTGTGACACATCTATCAGACACATTCTTTAAAAATACTCAAAAAAAAATCCAAATTTGACAAATACCTTCATAATAAACATGTTATTGATATTTCATATTGTTCTAATTTAATTGCATTTTTCAAAGCTATAATGAACATGTACATGACGCATAACATGTTATATACCACTAACACCAGTAATTTTCAATTGAGGTTCCACGGCATTCTACCACAAGTTCCACAAGTACAGTGCAGGAGTTCCGCAAGTTTCAGTTCAAATTCAAAGAGTTCATATTAATACATGCATATATTTTAAATACAATCAAACACCTATAACAATCGTGACTATTATTGAACTTGCTACACTTCAAGGATCATTTTGTCTTGGAGTCTTTTGTCTTGGGAGTTTATTTAAATATTTGGTTTATACAATTCAGACAATAAGACTATTTCACAGGGGTTGCTCGAGCTTCTGGAATGTTTCATTGGGGTTTCGCTCCACCAAACGGGATGAAAACCAATGATATACACTAGGGGTGGCCAACACGTCATTATCGATGGACCGGTCGATCGCCACAGCTCGGGTGGTCGATCAACTCTGATGTCGAGTGAATTTAATAACATACGCATACTGAAGTTCGAGCAGCCATGTAACATTTGTGGTTTGAGGATATTTATCATTCGCTGTTTAAAATAACCCATGGATACTTGGCAAGGTCTTTTGAGGACTTTTAAACACCTATGACTAAGAATTATTTAAGCCTTGGATCTGAATTGTATGATTCGAATAAATCCTGATTAAACGATAAAAACTTACTAGAGACACAATTGAATATTCAAATTAAATAGAACATAAAAAATATTTTAGTTGCGATTTCATTAAAAATGCGCCCACAAAGCCGAGCTTATTGGCAGCGGTGAAATGTTTTTGTATGCGTGTGCGCAGTTATCTACATATTCAGTAGCCTCATTTGTTACTGCGTATGACCTTGTTACCGATCGCAAGCTATTCTGAAGATTTTTCGCGGTCGAAAGCAGGTTGGTCACCCCTGCTATACACATAACAAATCAAAATTTACATCAATATTAAAACTGAGATAGACATATTTTAATACTAATTTACAAGCGCTTAACATATCAAAAATTTCTTTTTAATAAAATGTGAGTAAAAATTAAAGTCGAACCTTGATTTCAATGTACTATTAGCGGTCGAACTTGAGGACAATTGTTCTTTGGAAGTTGGATTACGAGAAACAGAGCCACGATTGGAAGAATCTGTAACAAAATTGAAAAATTTTCCATTTGAAAAATATTATATTGACTATGATAGATTTACATCAGCATTAGTATCTCAAGGAGCATATAACATAATTTTAAAAAAATCTATAGATAATAATCTCTGATGTCTACATGATATCTTGCTAATGATATCAGTGTAAAAGGCGAAAATCACACAAAAGTATATGAATTAAATATTGTGTGAAATATTGAACATGCTTAACTCAGAAGGATTAGAAATAGTTTAGTAATAACAAATTCTTGTTGTGAAAGAAGCTATATTTTGTTAATTCAGATAACTGAAATTACTGTTTTTTTTTTTATAAAATTTACAATTTTTTCCAGTTTATGTAATTTGTAATCAATTGAGTAATTTTAAGTCCATATCACAATAATTATATATTATATATATCACAATAATTACCTTTGCTTAGATTGGAGCTGGTGAAAACAGGAGCTTCATTCTGTGGCGCAGGTGTTGGGGGGCCTTGCTCGGAGCGTGATGTCCCCAGATAAAAATTTTGATTTTTCAGAAGTATTCCAGATATAGTCCGAGAATCACCGAGTGTGTTGTGTATGTTTCTTGTTAGTGAATCTTGTCTGGAAGTCTGAAAGATAAAAAGAAAATAATCGTTAGCTTTAATTTTAAATTCGTCTCTAAAATATAAATGAGATATCGTTATTGTGTTCAATCACACATATACCTGAATAGTGTAGAGCAAGCGTCGGCAACTTTTAGTACTGAAAGAGCCATTTGACATTCTTTCTGTCAAACTCAAACCTACTCAGAGCCGCAACATCTACTCTAATGTCAGTGGCTATTAAAACTCTTGGAAAACCAATTATGATGCAATATTCCACTTCTTACTGAGAAAAAATTAAATAAATTCCGAAATACGCAATAATTAAGTTTACGACAAAATGAAAACAACTTGGAAAATGAAAAGATAAGTTTGTTTTGACAGATTTGAATCTCCTTAATGCGACCTATTTTTGGCGCTCTCCGGTAGCCGCAGGTTATCGATCGCTGGTGTTGAGCAATAGAAACAATTTCAGCTTCCAATGCATCAGTGGATCCCAACCTTTTAATACATTACTCCTGTTGTTTATTTTAAAATCCCACAAAAAGCTGTTCCCCCGTTTGCTGCTGGATCATTAGTGGATCAATAGATGGTAATATTCCCAACTTGTACTCATATTTTTGAATAGTTTGTAATCTGAGCATGGATATATATCACAATGCAACTAAATGATTTAATATTAATATTACTTCAGTTGAATACAAAGTGAAATTTTTTTTCATAGAAAATGTGATATTCCTCCTCGTCATCTATACAAAATTTACAGTTACTGAAACATTGCAATGCTGTCATCGAAAACTAGTGGTTAATTAATAATGATTCAATTGTCTAAAATAAGTTGTATATAGCTTGAATTATCTTAAGACAACTTTCGGTGTTCCAGAAGTATGCACACCAAGATGTCATACAACCTTAATCCCAGCCGGTACACGCATACTATGTTCAGGTTGTGCGCCATCTTGATGCGCATACTTCTGGAGGTCCCAAATTTCACTGGACAATAGAGGAAAATAAGGGAAAAACAGTGTTTCCAGACACACATTTAAGAAGAATTAAGAAGACTGTTACATAAAGATAGATGTTATCAACGATAATCACCATTATCACCAGTCTGACCCCAGAAACAAATTAATTATTTAACGATAAAAGTAACGATGGCTTTAATACAATAGTTAAAAATTTGGAAAATAAATTGCGACATACAAGTTATCATGAATGTTCAAAAGGAATTGAATATTTAAAACACTTCAAAATTAAATATATTAAATAATTTGAATTCTTTTAGAAATACTTTAGAATAATTTCAATTTCAGTAATTAGATTGCATCGCTGTTTATCTCAATTTTCATGCATTTCCAAAATTAAACTCATTGAATAGATATTGGCTTCTATGTTACACATGGCCAAATTTAGAATATATTTAATAATCCATATTCAAAAACATTACTTCAGAATGTATCGGAATAAAGAAATGTTTGGTCTTGATGATTCCTGTAAAATATTTTTTTTAATTTATACTACACAAAGAAGTATAGGCAGGCTACTGGTGAATAAACAAACCATATATTTCTGAAAACTTAATATACAAGCCACAACCACAAAATGGTATCTAGGATGTCATGTTCATGTTACATGTTATTTGCTGTATAGTGATAAACTACAGAGTAAATAATAAGATCAATTGACAGTTATCTTGAATTTGAATGAATGTCATCAAAGTTAAAATTTTTTCACCCCTACAGAACAAGGTAAGCATTGCCTTGGATCAGGGGTTTCCGAACCGCGGGCGGATTTAGGCCCGTGTAACGATTTAAAATGGCCCGCCGAATCTAAGAGAAATAGTTTGAATTTTAATCGTATAAAAATACCAATTCGCTTAACACTTTATGTGTTTACCTTTCTGCATTCTAGATACAGCCAATTGTTACATCGTTATCAAGCTTAAGCAAGTGTATTTCGTAACAATTCAATTATACCGGTATCTTATGTATACGTACCGGCATTAGAATTGCATACGTCAGTATTTTAGTAACAGCCTAATATCAAGAAATCTTGAAGGTGTCAAAAAAATGAAAACTGAAAACGAGACGTCTTTGGATAAATAGCAGCGTTCTTATTTCTTTATTAAAAAGAATGAAACTTTAGCGATTTGTCTTCCTTGCCAACAAACTATTCCAGGTCTGAAGGAATACAACAGTAAACGTCATTATGAGAAAATGCATTCTTTGAATTATGATCAGTTGGAGCGTGAGCAGTGTATGTCAAAATTTATTTTACTGTTAAATTCAAACAAATTTATATTTATAAACATTCGGATGATTTTTGTGTAACAAAATCATACGAAGGCAGATGAGCAATTAACTTCCTTAGTGGCTATCAGTTGAAAAGTCCTTGTTGAATGTCATGCTTGTTATTCTTTGAATATTCTATCACCTGACTATCATAATTATTAAGAAGATTTTAGATTTGTTTGCTTACACTGTTCAGTATGTCAATTGTCAAAGTAAAGATCCTTATTATCACCAGTTAGATATCAGGCTGTATACAACTGTAAGTCATTATTGCATTGAAACAGATCTTTCATACATGTTATCCACACAAAGTATAGGATTAAGCACCATTTTGTTGATATGAAGAAGTTTGCGAATCAAATTTAGACTAACGTAATTCAAAGAATCAGTCTGTGACTACATTGCAAAGACCTTTCTTATATCTTAATCGTATATTATAGCCACAGAAACATGTATATAAAGAATAAATACACAGAGTTTAGGAGAATACAATATCTATTCATTCCATAAAAAGTGAAGCTCTTCAAACTAACCGAATAATGTGAATCATCGATAGTTATTTCATCAATGTAATGTAAAAATATACCAGCTGTTAGCTTTCTTCTTGAACATGACAATCGAAAGACAGGAACAGAATTTTGACACTGAGATACACAGGTCAATGTGGTATATATTTAAGATCACAGGCTGTTAAGAGCAGTATTGATTTTATTATTTTAATCTCATGATTGCAAAACTGACTAAATATGTTCCATGTGAATGTATCAGATTGTGTCATATAATATCTAGCTTTCAAAATTATAAAAGAGCAAAACCTAGTCACAGTTACTCAATTGGTATTCATTTGTAATTGAAATAATACACCAAATTACAAAATTTTCAAAGGCATTGTACTTGAATGTATCCATATGAATTCAAATGAAAAAGGAATTAAAGAGCTTAAAGTAAATTAACTGACAAGCAAACATGTCATCGGCAACTTATTTGCACCAGTGCTAAAAATAAAAATACTGTGTCAATGAAAATAAAATGGCGCTAATACAACAAACGAATTTCCTTGCCTGAGGAAACATTTCTATCAAGTTATCAATCAGACTTTGCATCAGTGCTTGAAACACACGGCATGTACCAACCATATTGCTTGACATCAAGAACTTGCCTAGAGGCATTGCTGTAGCAAAACAACAGTAATATCGGAAGGACTGATTTAACATATAACGCGAGTGTGTGAACTCTAAATAAAGACGTATTCCATAGCCTGGTACATGTTAATTAATTCACGATCATGGGTTATTAAGTAAACTTATACTCCATTAATTGAGATAATCTATGCTTAAATAAAAATGGATCCCAAGGTTCAAATAATAATTGAAATGGAATAACTAGTGTATAATAGGATATTTCAAATTACAAAACATTCACAATTTTAACATTGTCTTTACATCTAAAGAAACCATTACTATTATGAAATGTTTTTCAGTTCGAATTAATTGTTGAGCCAAATGCTGAGTATTATTAATGTAATATTTGAATACTCCGATAGGCCTGTTAGTTTTCTCTTACATCTAACACATGTAAACAATTTTCTTTTTTCCCAATAGCAATATGCCAAATAACATATACTATATATTTTTTTATTACATGCCTATATATCTTGTGTCCTTGCATAAACTTTTTGCAATGCCTTACAATATTGAACAACATACTGACGCAAAATTAAGATGTGACTAGGTGTGTTTAAACTCACAATAAATAATAGAAATAAGACAATTAGAAGGTTGGTGAGTATCTAACATTACATGAATAACACATTGGTCATTCAAAATAAATCTTAGTCAAATTAGGAAACAGTACAACATTGAGGAACAAACTATGCAACAAAAAATTATATTGCCAATGACGGTGATACTGCCATACTGCCTACTAAAAAGTTATTAATAACGGATTGAGGTCACAATTGATCGAATGACTTATGCTAACCGATTCAAATATTAAATTATAATCGCTGTAACTTCTATTATGATACATCCATATTATCAAAGGAGAAAATTATTATATATCTGGCATTTGTCATGAATCGATTTCAGTAGCTAAGATCACGACTGCAGAGAGTTTTCTCTCTAGGTGGTCAATTTTTCGTGTGAAAATACAATTGTTAGAATCAATACTCTTTTTTACCAAATATTTTAAAAACGGATAACTTATTATTCAATCTGTTCAGTCAATTCCTAATAATAATAAAATGCGAATGCTACAATTTAAAAAAAATTAAATGATGCCCACAGAGTATTCTATTACATATCTTAGTCAATGATAAATATGGATGAAATAATGCAGTAAAAATCAACAAAACTTACATTAATTTTTTTTGGTTCTGAAAAAACTGGATCTTCGCTCCCTTGCTCTTGCTTCATAAACTGTTGCTCTCTTCGCTTTTTTTCTCTTTCCCTCTCTCTCTGTAAAGAACTGTTCCTACAAAAATATAGTTTGAGGTTAATGCAAATAAAGAAATATTGAAAAAATACTTTATCAAAAGCATCTGTACAGAATCATTGATTATAAAGACACAAAATAAACCTTAACCCGACAATCCGACAAGGCCGAGGAGACAAATAGCCTAGGTAAACACTGCTAATGTAAATAAAAAACAAGTCCTAAGATTATTAATTTACCAAACCATGTCTCTAGACCGTTAATATTTCATTAAATGGGATCATAGAGAAAACGTTATAAATTGTTGATAATAATACATATTTTAAAGTCGATGTCAGCATATTTGCATCAGATGGTATAAGTAACTTGACTTAAATTTTGTTTTATCAAAATAAACATATTCATATCATATGTCAATATTACCTCTATGATACCACAAAAACACAAATTTTGGCAATGGATTATAATATTATGATTGTTTTATAATATGCAGTAGCCTGTAAATAAAAAAACAAGTTGTTTGTATTAAAATAATTGATCCACGCTGCCTATTCGACTAATTCATTGCCATGTTCCATAAAGGAAGCCATTCAAATAATGATTGGAAACATACAAGCATCCCTACACATGAGTTATTAATTTAAAAATGTTAAAGTTATGTCGTAAAGTGATACATATATAATGCTTTGCACATATCACTGATTGTTGCTTTACTAATTTTTAAAAAATTTGGCAAATAAATTCATAAAAGAGAAAATATATCTCTAGGCACTCACATTTGGAGTGAGCAATCATAACATTAGGAGTAAAACATACCTTCCATCATTTCTTGAGTACGACATTTCTCTTCTTGTTTGGAATTTATCCCTAGAGGATTGATTGCTGAATAATTGTAATAATTTTCATGTGTACAACATCGTATGACATCTGATTATGCAGTTGCTTAGTTGCAAACTCTTGTTGGGAATGTTGCAAAATAATATATAATAAGTGCTTCGCCAAATGGCGACGTTTATCGTTTTTTTTTACAAATTTACTCTTATGCTACTTTTCTAGTTAATGCTGTAAAGATAAAAACTTTAGAAAAACATACGTATATTAGCCCCTGTAGTGCACTATCTCCATCCCCTCATCAAAAACTTTTACTGTAACAATATATTATTTCTGATGTTTACATAAGTTGGGATTAAAATATTTTAACAGTAACATTCAACTCCACAATCAGATAACGGTAATCCGAGACTTCGGAAGCCCTAAATGAACTGATAAAGACTAAGGAGTGGCGTCGAATTGCATTGTTACAATGAATTGAGAAACCCTTGTATATGACTATGTATGATCAGTAACACTACTGAAATTATCACATAAAGCAAAGTATATTTAGATGGGTCTTAGGTATATTGACAATATTACATTTATTTAAAGTTTCCCAAGTACCCAATGTAATGATATTTTTCTATTTTTTTTTTTTGAACACATTAGTTGTCTGTTTGTGAAATTGCTTACTACCTCATTTATTGCTCTTAATAAAAAATAGAATTATAATATATTGTTTCCCCCATTGAAAATGAATTTAACATGTTTTATTTCAAACATGGGTAATTTATTTGTCCTTTCCCATGTACTTACCAAGATCAAAAAATTCCCACAAAATTCCTTTAAATAGCAGAAGTGTACAACATTAAAATTGAATAATTAATATTACATAATTGAGAGAAGTAATGTCTAATAAAAAGTAGATATGAAAAAAAGTTTCCCAATTTCAGAAATATCATTGAACTTATATAAATCAAAAAGCCATTTCTCATAACTTTTACCGCATGGATATAGTAGAATGAATGGAACACTTGGGCGCTTTATTATATATTATTCTAATTTCAACATTATTGCCTTTGATGAATTCTTGGCACTTAATTAATATTCTTGACCTAATTAATGTAGTGTTCAAAATAATAATAAAGTAATTGCTTCTCTTGGTATTAACATCAGAGTTGCTGCTGTTTTATAAGAATCTTAATTATTCTCAATTCCAAATAACAAAAAGGCTTGCATTTCATAATTGTAGTGAGTTTGTTATTTCCAAATTCTTTGCTCAAATTATGTCACAAGAAATGTATGTCTTGTGGTTCTAATTTTTCTCACTTTGATTAAAAACGGCTGCCACGATTATATTGCCAAATCATAGCTTTCTTGAATAACATTTAATTTGTAAAATGAAGTAATGCTTCTCTCATACACATTTGTAATTACTCAAATACATAACACAAAACAAAAGTCTGGTAGTGCTTATAGGACGATTGGAACTCCTGAAGTATGTGAACCAAGATGGGACACCGGAGCGTAGTATGTGTACCAGGTTGGGGTTAGGCCATAATTTTATTCCAATTTTCCTTATTTTAGTTCTATTACGTTCGGGGACTAGCCAAGTGACTCCCGTAGTATTTGTACCTGAAATTATGGCCCAATCCTAACCTAGTACACATACTTCGTTCCGGTGTCCACCATTTTGGTCCACATACTTCAAAATTACCGGACGATTTACCCACTTTGCGATCATGCCGAATCAGTGAATATTAACTTCAATAACCTAATCAATATTGAAAGAAATTAAGGGTGTTGTAAGTTTGACCAATCAATCCAGCATTAACCACCTACTTTTCCATAAAATCTCGACAAAATTCACCAAAAAACAATGAAATTATAAAAGCAGGCGGCAAGCATAAAGTAGACAAATAATCCAGATCGACATTTGCGGTAATACCCGTTAAAATGTTATTAAATAAAAATAAAAAAAGCAAATTAAGAAGGACAATGAACTGAAACTCGACACATGGTCGAATCAAATATCTTTTCATCACCTTCGGAGTTTCATTCCTCGGTGTTTAGAGCGGGCGTTTCAAATTTGAATTTTCCCTTTGGACCTATATTTCATTTTGCGGTCAATACATTTTATTAAAAAGATTTCAAAATGTCTAGTAGTGTCCAAGTTGTACAGAATCTAATTGAAAATTGGCATTGTGTGGACCAATGGTTCTCAACCATTGGTCCACACAATGCAATTTTTTTAAAGAATAAATTGTGAAATCTTGCACCGCAAGTATTATGCTCAAATACTAAACTGCATGTAGTTCTATTATGCCCGCATAATTAAACTGATGTACTTATATAAAACAATCATTTTTATATTACATTTACCATCCAATTCCGCAAAACTAAGTTTCAAAAAGGCTTCATTATATGATCAATACTATGGCAGATTCAGAATCAATATTTTACTTTTATTAAAATAAGTAAGAGTGGGTATTAAAAATTGAATTTTATGTAACATATTATAAACATAGCTAAAATCACCAGCACTTCATTACTACTCGCAGATCATAATTAAAAATAGAATGAAACAATGAATTGTAACATCATGAACTAAAAATAGATTCTAGAAGTTTTGATGCCATTTTACTTACCACATTACACATTTACTTACTACTGTACTACATTAAATAAAAAAAATGAATAAAAAAAACTATAACAGAATAAAAATCAAAAACTTTTATTATTTTGGTAAAAAAAAAACTAGCAATTTTTTCTAAAATTTATATACAAAATTGAAATACATCTGTACATAGAGATATAAAAATATACAGACTTTTTGCCCTACAGAATTTTCTGACCACAAAACGATCTGAGTTGAGATTTTTTTACATTAGCCTCATCTATTGCTAGAATATATTCGCTGTTCGATTAGGTTGTATCTTGTTTTGTCTGAAAAATTTGGATTGTGATTTAACGAAGGCTCAAATATATTTACTATTTCGTGTTTGTTTACCTTATAATAACAAAATGTTCAATTGGGTCTTGTGTAGTTTCGTACCTAACGTACCGTACTTCTAGTTGGCGTAGCACAACAATTTTTTGACATGACAATCCTAACCCTCACCTGACTACGCCATTCAAAAATTACAGTCACAGTCAAATTGTACAGTACAATTACTGGTCACTACATGTATAGTTAAACTATGATGTTGAATGTTGGCATCATCATTTGTTTATGCAGTCCCGCTAAATTAGAAACCGCTCAATTTCAATCTTGGCAGCTTGGCTCAATCTGACATCCTGACTTCCGATACCGGTACCGGTACGGTACCTAACTTACACACTGACACAGATACCGGTAAGCGACTAACTTTAGACAGTTAGAACTTACTCCGATATAAATTAAGTTATCTTCATACAGCCATTCAGGCCTATGCATTGTCAAAGTGTTCTCTTATTAATGGCTCTCAGCAAGCTTGTAACAAAACAAAAACAGACCGGCATCGACGCAAACTTGACCCGAGAGGCTTATTAGTCAGCTCGCTTACGAAAACACCATAAACCGACCGCAATAGGGTCGTGCTGCATGGAGTCGACTTTTAATGGACATTATTAGATTAGGGATAATGATTCTCGTTATTAAATGTCTTTAACTCACGATATTTGCTGGTTTCAAAGATAGTATAAATAAAATAAATTATGATAATTATATATGTGCTTGTATGCTCCATTTTGAATTTCAAAAAACATGAGTTTTTTTAAAGATCTACCATAACAAGTCGGTTCACTTTTTTCAGCTGAATGACGTCATCCTGACGTTAGGGATCAATGAACCACAACATAATTTTTATCCGCTCATTACACTATTCCTTGAACTGAAAAAGCCCCAGTTTCGAAATCCAATTCAACCAGTTGGATAGTTTGACTGGTTAAACCATACGATCGTGGTTGATCGTTCACCCGACAGTGATAACTGACCGAAAACTTGTCGTACGACCAAGTTGTCTTTTCATATTTACATATCATAACATACATATATCAATTTCTCCACAATAATATCGCAATATCAACAAAACTAAAGCATGGAGAGAAAAATATTGGAAGTGGAACATAAACTTGGGGTTGAACTAAGCAGACATTCAGACTATTTGACACATACTGTTAGTTCGAATCATCGAGAATGAACCACGAATCTGACGTCGAAATAATGGAAAACCCCGATTGCGACACTACAAATAATATTTTTCTGAAACATTTTGTAACGATTTATTAAGCATTGGCCTACACATGCCTAATCAGCGTTCCTATGAGCGACATAAATTAATAACAGAGTATTTGCTGCAAGAGCTGTTGCGCGAATTATTTAACAGTACAGTACAATATTCAGGGTTGTCCACGTCATGATGTCCTAGTACCAGTAGGAACGTGAAACATTTTTATGTATGGGGATCGTACATTAAACGTGTGCATCTAAGGTAGGGTGACCATACGTCCTCCTTTTGGAGGATTTGTCCTCCTTTTTCGTTAAAAATTTTATGTCCTCCGAGGACGCTCTAAAAGGTCAAAATGTCCTCCTTTTTCCAAGGGATTAAATATTTAAAATTTCTTCACGACATATTCAACATTTTTTGATGGGTTAAAAAAATTTAGTAAGTAAAAGTAAGTAAGCAATGCATTGATATGTCAATAAAACCTTAATAAACCTCGAATACAAAATAGGTTGGAAATACCTTAGTTAGGTCGTTATGACAGACCAGTTATTTCGTGCTCAACACCTCATTTTCTAATCTACTAAAAAATTATAGCTCAGTTTTACGAACAGGTTGAATGTAGGAAATAAGTGTATATAAATTGATATAGGTTTAAGACGTTATTAGTTTCACTAAGTAATACATTTGTGGCAACAAATATAAAAAAGCCTTTTCAATGCCCATTCCAATGCAGTTTGAGAAATGACTGAGCTAACAACATTTTTGAGATGTCGTATCATCTTCCCGATCTTAAAAGTGCAATTTTTATACAACAAAAGATTATTGCTACCAGC